CACACTCTTCCTATTCTTGAAAATACCTGAAAGACTAAGTAAAGAATATAGGTTCACCTTGTGGTGAACACGAAGCTGGACTGTTTCAGTAAGACAATGCATCAATTCATACTGCTGAAATTGTTCAAGATTGGTTCAAAGAACATGAAGACGAGATGGATACCTAACTTGGTCACCAGAGTTAAATGTTGTCGAGCCCCCTATAGTCAGTTATTGAAACCAGTCTTTCCACTATCATTAAGACTTCAACAATTCAGAGCTTTGATAAACAAATGGTAAAGATTTCATTGTCTGATGAACAACACCTTGTTTTGTCAATTTCAAGTCGTGTTCATGCTGTTTTGTTTGCTCTTCAAGAAGAATACACTCGATATTAATAAATAAACTATAGAAATTAACAGGTGTTTCAAGTATTATGTCCAACCTCTGTATATAAATCAATTCTAATGAAGGCTAAAGGGATAAATATGTTGAAAATATAAATGTATCATTTTTTTTAAATGTATTCATGCCCCAAGATAATCAAATAATAATATTGGAATTTTCCCTGATTACTAACAGTCGTTTTAGATCTAGAAAGTTACTAGTATGGTACAAATATACTGTAAGGTATGTGAGCATTCCTTGCACAGATTTTTACACATTTTGCATATCCTATGAACTGAGTGCAGAACTTAACATTAGTCAGAACAACTCTAAGGAAACTGGACAAGATGGGTTGGTTACCAGGCTAGGTCGTCATTGAGAAAGCTCTATTGACATCTATCCTGCTGGGACTGTAAATTTGAAAGTTCAACTCAGTAATGTAGGGATTTTATTCTCCATGTAAAGTCGAGACGGCTTAGTCTGCTATTTAATCATTAGCCGGATCAAATTATATGTCCACTTCCATCCCTATGCTGTTTCCCTTTTTTCAAGTTCAGTAGCCAGCCCTACATAGCTTTTTTATTTAGCGATATTTTTTTTTATTTATACTTGTCATTATGAGTAAGGTTTTGTGATAAATGTGCTTATAAAAAGAAAATAATGTTCAACATTTTTCTTTATTGTTTATTCCTAAGAATTAATTGCTTTATGAAGACTTTTATCCACTCTTGTTTTGTTTTCCAGGCTTTCTGACATATGTAAACTGCAGGAGTGTACGTTGGACAATGAACATTCAAGACATTTTTACCGGAGCTAAGCTGTTAGCCCTAGCTATCATTATAATCACAGGCGTAGTGTGTTTGTTCCGAGGTAAGATATACACTGTAGATGCTTTTGGTGGTCTTAATTATGCTAATGTTTTGTTGCTTAACTATTACAGTTTTCTAAATGATAATTGACTGTTTATGTTATTAATAAATAAGTCTTTAATATTTTTATATACCTTTAAACCTATATTTATATATGATTTGAAGAATATGTAGTTTTTCTTCTTAATTATTCAGCCGACAAGATTCTGAAAATTAATATGGAGCCCAATCTATCATTCGATTCATTACTAGTCACTGAATTATACTAGTTTCGGGAAATGCCGCCCCTTATCAATAACCCTGGACAAGGGCAAATCGAATGGTGGACTATATATGATATTTATTGTGTTTTTATTTGTTTATATATATATATATGAACCTGTAGAGTAAATGAAACATCTTTAATCCTCTTCCAACATAATTCCTTGTAGCAATTCGACTCTACAATGTAATACTTTTGCTTCAGTCAATTTTACAATCTAAAATACAAGGACAAACCACCCGTATAAAGCTGGACATTACTAACCTCATCTCTTTACCTCCCCAGCTCTTAACTGTAACGAAAGCTGTCATATACATGGAATATGCGAGAAGAACAAAGCACTTGATAACTTTGGTCATTCTACCTCTTCAACTTATTATATGTACAATCTAATAAATAATTAACACCGATTTCTTAATCACTTACCGCGCCAATTTCTTCGTGCTACATAGAAACGTGAGACGAAGTTATATAAGGAGGTTATTTCAATTCCATCAAGAGTGCAAAACACTTATCAGGCAATATTACACGTTATTGGGAAATAGATTTTTTTCCAGCATACTCCGCGTGCTTGGTTTTCTTGTAAAATACGATTATTCGATTTTCTATCAGCATCTAATAAAAGTGGTCATGTAAAATGTTGTAGAAGTATTCAGGTAAGCCTACTTTTTCATGGGATTACAGAGTCTTACGTACTTAACTTACTAACTCGTGTAGGTTAAATATATATATCTCCATTTCTTATATTTGTCTACACCCATGTTGTAATTTATCAAACACACGGTATATGATAATTCTAGAAATAATCAAAATCTACTTAAAATATTGTTCTGTGTTTATTAATGCAGGAATTGTAATATTTCAGCGTTCTGAAATCAAGTGGGTTTTTTTTCGAACGTTTTAAAACAAAAGATTTTGCACATCTTGAAATTGTATTTACAAAATTAAAAAAAGCATAAATTATCATCCAGGATGATGTGAGCCACTAATTAATGATAAATAAATAATTTAATATCTTGAATAAGATAAACTGAGTGGAGGTTTTCAGCTATTCCGAGTATTTGGCTGCATTGTGCAAAGCTTGGGTAATACACCTGAATGTATCCTTGATACATCCCATGGTATTTTTCTATTGGTGAAGAAAACATCAACAAAATTTTGTCTGTGGATATTTTATTATATACAGGGTTATCAAAGGTTAAGCATTTTACCTCGTGGAAATAAGTTACTGAAGATCGAAAAGGACGAAATTTAATTTTGTTTTCCTGAATCAAATCTTGTAAGCTAATACAAAAACATTTCACTAAATAACCTGGAGACAACACTGTGCAGTAACATAAAACAATTTATTTACTGGAGACAACACTGTGCAGTAACATAAAACAATTTATTTACTGGAGACAACACTGTGCAGTAACATAAAACAATTTATTTACTGGAGACAACAATGTGCAGTAACATAAAACAATTTATTTACTGGAGACAACACTGTGCAGTAACATAAAACAATTTATTTACTTTTCATGTATTTTTGAAGCACTTAATTTGATGTTATTACTGTCATTTTCAGAGATACAACAGTGATATATAGGATGGGGCCAACTGGGATTAAACAGCTGTTCCATTTAAAATATATATAGTTTAATTTTTAACGCTTAACTTTTAAACAGTATTTAACTTGACTTCAATTGTCTTCCTGATATTTTCTTTAGTACCAACCTTATAATCCAACTGTACCAACTGTGTAGATACCTTTGTTCCACCCTGTATACATAAGTGATATATATATATAATATTATGATTTAATTCCTTATGCAAAAGGCCCTGCGTGGTTAGGGCGCTTGACTCGCAATCTGAGGGTCGGGGGTTCGAATCCCCATCCCACCAAACATGCTCGCCCTTTCAGGCGTGGGAGTGTTATAATGTTACAGTCAATCCCACTATTAATTGGTAAAAGATTATCCCAAGTATTGGCGGTGGGTGGTGATGACTATCTTCCTTCCCTCTAGTCTTTCACTGCTAAATTAGGGACGGCTAGCTTTGCACGAAATTCTAAAACAAATCAAATTAAATCCTTATGCAAAAAAACACAATTTTTCCAGAAGAGTTTTGATGCAAACGATACCAATTCAAAGCTTCAGTAGCCAACTATGTACATTACAAAGATGATCCACGTGATACATGAAACTAATCAATTTCTTACAACTTTCGGTGCAGGTTCTATTGAAATATGACACAACTAATTCCAACATGTACAATATGTATGTATTATATTATGATATTTTCAAATAACTTGAACCTACTATCAATGCAGGTGATTAGACGTCCAAAAAGGTGTCGTAATTCAAGTTGCTAACCAATCTCCGATCACGATACTATAAAGTCGATTTATTGGAAGAGTCGTTCTTCAAAAATATTTCTTTATCTCACTTTATTCTGTAACGAATTTATCATTATGTATTTATTTTTAATATGAACGTTGTATGGAGTGAATTTGTATTTAGAAATATGCGTGACTTGTAGTATCAGATATGTGTTGCATATAACGATTTTTTTTTAATGTCAACGTTTGTTTCGAATAAGTTTATATTTGAGGGCGTGTCTAGCTTACCGCGTTAGTTACGTAGGGCGAAACTCCCGCCAATTATCCAAGATTGTAGAATATTCGTGAACACAAGAATTAACAATATATCCACTTCCGTAACCGGTTGCCCCCCAGTGGCACAGCGGTATGTCTGCGGACTTACAGCGCTAGAAACCGGGTTTCGATACCCGTGGTGGGCAGAGCACAGATAGCCCTTGTGTAGCTTTGTGCATAATTAAAAACAAACAAACTGTAACCGGTTAAATATAAACAGAGGACAGAGAATATACAAGTCTACTAGGAAACTGTTATAACCATGTAAGGTATAAACTGTGATTTTGGTAACCCTTGTCAACCGGAAAATATACGACATTTGACCAGGACAGCTATAAATTTCGAACGTCAATGAATTCTCATCAAACGTTAGTATCTTTCCAAAAATATTACTGATTTCTCATCGGACACTAGTGGTTTTATGAAAATATTATCTTACTTCAACGGTCCAACAGTTGAGTGGCTGACAAAGCTAGCTAGCTTCCCGCCAATTATATGTACATCAACTTTAAGCTAACTCGCTGGATATCAAGGAGACTTGGAACTAGGAAGACGATTTTAGGCTATTTGTAAGTCAGTGAAATTTCTCTTTATGAAACTTGGTTTGTAATAATTAATCGTAATAGTTGCTATTGTAAATTATACTGTATTAAAATGTATCTGTCGTATACAAAGCTGCTCCAGAGTTAATGGACAAATACATTGAAATCAATGTCTACACTAAAATTATAATGCTGGTAACAAGAGATGTTCAAGAAATGGTTAATCAATTCATATCCAGTCTCAAAGAAAAAGAGAAAAAGTCTACCAAGAACGATTAGATTCCTTCGAGAATTTAAAGAACTATGCTTTTGACTAGCTTGTTAAGGATGAGAAACGACTAGCAGAGCTTCAAAATTTCGCATTCTCATAAGGCACGAGGAAGATTACCTCCTTCGTGATGGCAAAGTGTGAGATGGGAACAGGAAAACCAGGAAAGCAAAGTACTTGTAGACTACCCTTTTAAGATTCAGATGCTGATGGTTTAGAAACTCCAATGGAAATAGAGACAGTTGGTGGGATATCAGTATCCGTTTTGAGTTCATTGCCAGTACAATTCTAATGTGCCAAAACCATTATATACATTACTTGCATGTAGTAATACTAGGATATGAACAAATTCTGAGTTATTACAGTCTCTAGTGGGCGGTATGACAATCGTATCAAAAAATGTTACGAATTTTAGGTTTTGTTTGGCCTCTAGAGGGCTGCAGGGTCATTAGATCGGGTCAAATAATGAATTTAAGGTAACAACTGGATTCTTTATCATTAATAACTCCAGGTATAGTGGTGAAACTTGTTTCATTGTGAATTCATCCATTTTGGAATAGAAATATTCGCCTGATTTAGGGTTTTATGTCGGTAGGACATTAGTATTAAGTCGAAATGGAAGATTAGTGTAACCAATCGATTTTTCAACACAAAAAAACACGTATTTCATTGGTTATCAGATTCAATGGGCAGAAAAACATAGATAAAGCTGCCCTGACCTAGAAAAAGGACGTCGGTAAGATTTTTAATCGAGAACATTCCTGAGTTTTTCTGTTAGCTGTAACGGCATTTTTCTACATATACATTGAAACGTTCATCTAATATATTATGTTGGTTGATAGTTGATCCAAGGACGGTGGTGTAGTTTGACACCTTAATAAGATAATTGGGATAACTCACTAACGAACTTAGTTTGCCCCAAAAACTCGTTTATGAAACATCATCCACTTGTATATGTGGATTAGGGAATTATTAAGTTTTTGACTTTGAGTAGTAAACTGAAAGAAACACACCGTTTGAGGAGATATCTCTTTTAATTTATCAGTGTTTTGTAATTGATTTCTTATTGCTTATTTATCTGACTTTCTTTTAGTTGAACACCAAGAAAAAAAGATGTGATTGGGGTTGTGATTCGAACAAGATTATCCTTTGCTGTTGACAGAGTAATAAGTTCCACCTTTAAAGGTGTAAATGTATAACAAACAGAAGTTCACACTCTTGATGTATAGTTAAAGATGTGAATGGGGAGTGAATATGTATGAAAAGAATGAAAATCAAGTAAATCATATGCGAAAACAAAGTTAAGTTGTACATGTATCACACGTGACGTGAACGTGAGCGTCGATATTTCAATTTTAAACGAAGACTAACTAATTATTTCAGGTAATTAAAATGTTAGGGTAATATTTTTAACTGAAGTTTTTACAATCATCACACTTCACTGAGGTGTGAAATCACATTTGTGAAGGACGTGAACTCATACTTTTTGGGGTATACTCAGGACCGGCGATAAGGGGGGGGGTTAATGGGGGGATTACCCCCGTGCCCGGGGTCATCAGAGGACCCGTAAAAATTGCCATGAAAAAGCCTCGGAAAGTTGCATTTTATAGTTAACTGATATTATGGGGGCCCATATGTACATGATTATTCCCGGGCCCGGATTAACTCTGGGGTTACTCCAGGCTCATGAAAGTGTGTTATCACACCATAGTCTTCTAACGTGAGTGTTCTGAGTTTTTTGTTCATCTTAATATTTCACAGGAGAAACCACCCATCTAAAGAACACTTTCCATGGAGACTTTAAGGCACAAGATATTTCTTTGGCTTTCTACTCGGGCTTGTTTGCTTATGGAGGATGGTAAGTTGATAACTTGTTTGAAACTATAAGTGCCAAACCAACGTTAGAGCACCTAACGACAGAGTTTTAACTCCTGTCACCAGCGATGATGTAGAACACTGCAATCGTCCTCATTACTGTATAACTGGTTATTTATGTATGTTTAGTAATCTATTAGTTGTATCATGAAGTAATAAATAGATGAGTATACTGGAATGGACGGCAACTACCTGTATTAAAAAACACGACGGATCTCAAAACTTTCGAAACGTCGTCTTCAACACTTGTTTTTTTACAACAGGCAGTTGCCATCCATTCCAATATACTCATCATGAATACTCTTGCCTAAACAATTGATTAAAGAATAATAAACAGGTGTTGATGATTTTCAAGAAGTTGGTAGAGATTTAAGCTCGAACAAAAAAAGTTATTAACCTTTTGCTTACCAATATGGGTACGTTAAGTACCCACAGAATTTTATATTGGCTAACCAGCGCCTTATGATAATTAATTAAATATTAATCATTAGATTATTTTTCACACACTACGTATATAAGTTAAAACAATCACGAGAGACTTGCATCAATCATATTGGCCAGACACGTCTATTTGGTGAAATAGGAAGGTTAATTGCTTAGTTCGGTTTTAACTATTTTGGCATTCAAGGCTAAGTTAAATTATAGTTTCTGTAGTTGATTTGTTTGTGTTTTCTAGCGGTAAACAGCTCTAATTACATCACAAGTCACATGAAATGTTCCATCAAACCTTCTCTTGCTGCCCTTCTAATTAAAAGAAATAATTTTAAAAGTCTATGTAATCATGGTTTATTTTACTTTAGTGTTGTTGTCAATCCTTTACATGTTATGTATTGACCTAAAAAGTGGGTCAGGTTTTTTTCCCTTTGATTGAAACCATCTTTTCTTTTTTATCTTGTAGAAATAACTTGTTTTGTCATTTTTGTTTTCAAACAGTCTTCATATATCAAACTTTCTTCAAGCGTTTACGACAAAAAAAAAAGGTCATCTATGACATGAGAAAATTTAGGCCTCCAAATATTACATAGCGAAAATATTTTGTCTTAGAGTTGGGTTCCATAAACTCCCAATACTATATTTATTCGTTACTGATGCAAGCCCCCCAATGGCACAACGGTATGTCTGCGGACTTACAACGCTAGAAACCGGGTTTCGATACCCGTGGTGGGCAGAGCACAGATAGCCCATTGTGTAGCTTTGTGCTTAATTTCAAACAACCAAACAAACAAATACTGATGCAAGGTGTACCATTTTATATTATTCAAATTTAATGTACTTGTAGTTAGAACAGAATATTTTATAAGACTGTTGATAAGTTTTACGCTAACCTTGGACTAGTGGGAACATTTCGAGCTAGTGATTGAAAGGTTGAAGGTTTTGGGTCGCGATATGCCGCCGAATAAGGTCCTCACTTTCAGCTGTGGAGGCATTATAACCGTGACAACCATCCCGCTTATTGGATAAAAAAGGCCCTGTAGGCGACCTGTTTAGCAGCTTTAAATTGGGAATAGCTCTGCTTGACCTTTAAGGATTTGTTTTTTGAATTTCACGAAAAGCTACACAAGTGCTATCTATGTGCTAAACAACCCACTGCCAACTTTTGGGTTACTTTTGTCAGACCGAATAGTGGGTTTTGACAAGCAATCATATAACGAACCCACGCCCCAAAGTGCGGAGCGTAATTTTTTTTTTTTTTGCAAAGCCTAGACTACACATACACACGCGCAACAATCCTCTATGACATCACTGTAACGTACACATTTTAGTTTAGACATGTTACTCAGCTCATATACGAAACAGTGACTTGAATACGTCTACAATTTCTGCAAAAGAAAATTAAAAAAATTGAAGAATTGGGAAACGTTGTTTTATCTCTCACATGAATTACTAATACCCTGGACTTTCAGTAACACCTTGGTTTTCTCCACGCTAAACTGTTACTTAGGCCCTACATTAAACAGCACGACATTGAAAAAATAATTCGATGACGAGGAACCCACTTTGAGATTAATAATGACTGGAGACGGCTTGAATGGGTAATGAAGAAAAACTGTAATAAAAGTTTAACATAACAGCAAATGTACAACGTTTCGACAAGGTTTTGTCATCATCATTGAAAAAATAAATAAATAAAAGGTTAATGAACGAAAAAAAAAAAATAGGAGCTTACCATATCTATACCAAAAATACTTTGTCACGGTAAACTGAGAAAAACAGTGGAGACTGTAAGCGTTGGGTATCAGCTACAACACAAGGAGTAGTTAGGGGTAAACTGAGAAAAACAGTGGAGACTGTAAGCGTTGGGTATCAGCTACAACACAAGGAGTAGTTAGGGTTAAACTGAGAAAAACAGTGGAGACTGTAAGCGTTGGGTATCAGCTACAACACAAGGAGTAGTTAGGGGTAAACTGAGAAAAACAGTGGAGACTGTAAGCGTTGGGTATCAGCTACAACACAAGGAGTAGTTAGGGGTAAACTGAGAAAAACAGTGGAGACTGTAAGCGTTGGGTATCAGCTACAACACAAGGAGTAGTTAGGGGTAAACTGAGAAAAACAGTGGAGACTGTAAGCGTTGGGTATCAGCTACAACACAAGGAGTAGTTAGGGTTAAATTCAATAACTGCATGTGGCCACATTCACTTTTATTTTACCGTGAAACTTCAAGCTGAATTTCCAAGCTTGGTGAGCACACCTTTACGCTCACCATGTAAAAAATAAATTAGACATGTCATAACTTGAAACATTACTCTTATTTGATCGATCAGTTTGACAACATCGTTAACTCTTTACCTATATAGAACTTGAAATTATTCTAATGACAACTTTTTGGAACTTTACAGTTCCTCCATGACAGACACACGTCTTTTCTACCTGAAACAAAATCAAACGTATTATAAATACAAGTTTGAAATGATTTATGGATGGAAAACCATCAAAATATGAAAGTTTTATTTTTTATATTTCCTAAACTTAAAATCTTTAAATCATCAAATATATAGTTGTTTTAGTTAATTATGTAATTAACTTCCAACCTACCTTAGTTATTGTATAAACATCTTGTAATGTACAATAAAAACCAAAATAATTAATGCGATTAAAGATTGTTTAGCAGTGTATTCTGTTCTCCTTACTCATAGGAACTTTCTGAACTTTGTAACGGAAGAGCTTAAGAATCCTTACAAGTAAGTAACATTTATGTCTTCACAATGTTTCACGTGCGCTATGTATTTGTGGGTTAGTTTTGTAAAGGTCAAAGATTTGCATGGCTATTCTGATAGTTTGATTATCTTGGTTTAAGGCTGTGGTAATGTTATGTATATCTAAAGTGCGTTCTAGCCACTAGGAGCGGATTGGTATTAAAGGACCAACCTGGACAATATCGCATGCTGCATACAGGCTAAACAATTAAAATTTAAAACCAATTTCTTGGAATGCGTCAAATGCACCGGCCCACTTGACGAATGCCCGATGACCTGATTGACCAATCCGTCCCTGCTAGCCACAAACAGTAATCTACGAATCTTGTTGTTAAAGGAGATTAATCGTGAAGTGTCGCCCTAGGCCTGTCATCCAAAGACTTGAAACACACGTATCTAACCGATGTGTACGTTAGATACATGATGTCTTTAAAACCCTTAAATTTATTTGGTATAAACATTGCCTGACAGTTACACTTAAAAATCAAATGTACTGAAGCATTATGTCATGGTTGGTGCAATATAACCAGGAAACTGTAATGTTCTTAAGCAACTCTCCAGTTTCCACATTTGAATGAATATTTACAATAACACATTCATTTATTCTCTTACAACTGTGTTTCTAATCATATTATTTCCTCCTATCGCTCTGTGTTTGTGCTTGTGTGCCAAAAATGCTTGAGATCACGTCTAATCGTTTGATGTTACATTTTAGTAACCGAGTGGTAACCCTTGTGACTTTAGCCTTTACCCATTTGACCTTAAAGAAACAGCTAATTGTTGACTGTATATTAACGTTTATTTTAGCGTTTTGCTGTAAATGCATTATAGTAATTGCCAGTTAAATTATGGTATGATAATGTAATAAACTGTATTTATGTGTATGGTATTTTAATTGTCTTTTATTCATCACAGTAAACTTATATTTAAAGGATATGTAGCATTGATGTTATTAATATATTTTTCTGAATTATTCAGGAAACAAGTAGTTTAAGATATTAAGAACAACTACGAAGCCCAATATATTTTCGACAGTGTAAACGATAATGTATTAAAAACTAGCTGGAGTACCCGTCCCCTGGACGAAAGTTATGTAAGTTCATGATTAATGAAAGGTTATCTTAGGACATGTAAAGTTGCTTCCCTTATAAAAAAAAACTGCAAAACACAAAATGTGAAACCGCAAATTTGCATGTATCTCCGCATGGACCCAACAAACCTTCATGCCAAATTTGGTGAAGATCCGTCAACTAGTGGTTAGAAGCGCCCTTAAAAACCGCAAAATACAATACAAATATGTTTTTATATCCCCATGGACACAACAAACCTTCATGCCAAATTTGGTGAAGATCCGTCAACTAGTGGTAAAAAACGCCCATAAAAACGCAAAATGAAAAACTGAAAATTTGCATGTATCTCCCCATTGGCCTAATGAACCTCCATACCAATTTTGGTGGAGATCCATATACTCCCTGCGAAGTAGTTACATGTTCATACAACAGACAGTGCTATTATATTTATACACATTCCTAATGTATATTGAGTTGAAAACTTATTATGATGTAACAATGGTCTTAGTCTTAGAATAAAAATATTGGACTGTGTTGTTTCAGAAATTTACCTCGAGCTATTTGGATTGCAATTCCTATCGTGACATTTGTGTACGTTTTTGCCAACGTTGCGTATTTTACAGTCGTTTCACCACTTGAAATGCTAGCTTCGCCTGCCGTTGCCGTGGTAAGTCACAGTTTTAAGTTTTTGGTTAGAAAGAAAAGAAGCTTTCTGTTCAATACAAAATGCACTGGTAAAGATTCGGGACTTGTAAATAAAAGAAGTTAAAATTGGTTATGGGTAGAAAATAAAAACTATATTAGCTTATGTGGTAGTCGAGCTTTTCTTCGCCCGTGGTAGCATCCAAAACCAACCAAGTCATCGAGGTTCGAATATTAACAGATTTGGTACTTTCTAAGTAAAGAAGACGAACAAGAATCCATTCCCAAGTTTTTAGCTTCCAGATAATGAAAATAATTTTAAAAGATTTTTAGGGTGTAAAAAACCAACTTTAAAAAGACTTACAATTAACTGAACGTAGGACAAACAAGAGTACGTATTGCTGTTTCACTCGAAGGTTGTACGTTAGTGTATACATGTCGGCGGATTCTTTTATACGTTTTTAATACCATTTTGTTTACAGTTGTTGTTTTTTAGTACGTAATGTGACTAGAACATTTGTCTTTCACCCCAGTTAGGCCCTCTTGTCAGTCAGTTAACACTAGTTTGAAAAACATGGATATAATCAAGTCGATCTTTTTAGAGCTTGTTTCTTTACAACTTTCATGTATTTCAAGATGGGTGGAATTTAAATATACATGTTTTCATTAACTTTTTGTTAGTTTGTCAGTTTTTTGTGTGAAATTAATTTTAAATATATTTGTATATATGGATAATTTTACTATATTTGATACTCTAAATTAAATCAGTTCCCCCGATTTCCTTAAGTAATGGCCCAAAGAAAATATTTTTCGATGTGTTAGAAATTATTGTTCCTGTACTAACCTAATTATGAAGACCCCCCAGACTGTAACTGTACATATTACCAAAGTGAAATGCTATACGTAACAAAACAAAAACGTAATAGAACTTTTAATCAGTTTTGTATAGAGGGTGATTACGTTATATTAAAACGATGTTGGAGCCTCGTCACGTCGTTATAGTCCAACTCACCACGTCCGGAGATTTCTGTCTCACAGTTTAAAAACAAAAATTTACGACATGGCAGATTTAAGTAACTGTATCAATCAAGTTACCGAAATTGATAAAAACAGTTATCCAAAGCCTACGTTTTGGGCTGTCACTTACACAGGTTTCACAAATCTAGCCTAATAATATTCATAGTATCAATTTCTCGCTGGATCAGCGCTGAATCCGAGATTTTATAACGCTAAAAATCTGGTTAAGGTACCAGCAGTAGGCAGAGCACAGATAGACCATAATGCAGCTTTATATTTAACAACAAACAAACAATTTTTTTTCTCGCTAAATGGACTAGGCGTGGCCTATATATTAGCGTGCCGGAAATTTGAATCTGATGATTGGTTAGTCCGCAACCCATTACCGCAATAACGCGCTCCGCATTTTGTGGCCCTGTGTACCATATGAAAATGATAGTCAAATCCCATAATTTACTCAGATAAGAGTTGTCGGTGAGTGGTATTGATAAGATGTTTTTTCTCCAGTCTGGTCTGGTATGGTATTGTAGGGGGAAGCCGAGCCAAAAGGGGGACTCGAAGGTCCTGACAAACTTACGAATTGTCGACAAGGGTATAAATGTAGGGGGCCCAATTATTTGTTATGCGAGGGGCCCATATTTTCAGTTACTCCTCTGAATATTTTCATTAAGAAATTATTAGATTTCTGCAATATTTACAGAAAGATTTACAGATTATAGAGAAATAATATTTATTTTCCTTTTTATTTTTTTAGACATTTGCAAATAAAATGTTTGGGGTTATGGCTTGGATCATGCCGATATTTGTGGGATTATCAGTATTTGGTGGCGTCAACGGTCTTCTTTTCACCTCAAGTAGGTAAGACATTACCAAGGTTTTTATGACTGTACAATTCTAATAACACAAACTAACATTTTTCACTTGGAAAGTTGGGTAAGTTTACACCTTTATTTAAAAAGCTCTTAATGTTTGGTAGTGTCAGTGGTATAGTTATTAAAGTTGTTGGTGTGAAAGGTCATGGTTCGATTTAAAAACAAAACGAAACATTTTTTATCTGAAACAAATAGGTTAAATATCATTTGTTTAATAAAGTCCATCGAATACTGATCCCGATAAGTTATGTATTTGTATATATGTGAAATATTATTCAATTTCCATTAATTACTGTTCCTTCGTTAGGCTTTTCCTCGTGGGTGCTCAGGAAGGCCATCTACCGTCCATATTTGCAATGATTCATTACGAAAGATGTACCCCAACACCATCACTTATGTTTACGGTAAGGGTCAAGATGTAAAAGATATTTAAATTCTTGTCCGATGCAAAGAAAAGTATGAGTAAATGTAATTTAAACAAGAAACAGTTTAGATTTTTAATAGTATATATTTTTAATATTTCGTTTACTATATTTTCAAATGCAGTTCATATCACCATAACCTGATGGTAAGGGGACTCGACTCAGAGTTGCGGTAACGTAACCAGGCACCTAATATACTCTCCTTTCAGTCGTGGGAGTGTTATCATATGACGGCCAATCCCACGATTCGTTGAGAAAGAATTGCCGAACTGTTACCTTCCCTGTGATTGGCAGTTCAATTTAAAAATAATGGACGACAGCAGATAGGCTTAGTTGCTTTGCCTTAAACAAACAAACATATTACCTACTTTATAAACTAATAAAGAAAAAAATATTTATCTTTTAAATAATCATATAGTGACAGTTTAAATAAAATTATCATTAAAATATACGTGCTTTTAATCGGCACGTACGAGTGTTTTTCACTTTATTTCTTAAATAATAAAATAATTGATGTGTAAGTTATTAGCTTTTTTAATTGTATCTTAACTCATTTTGAAATATAATAAAAACTAATTCTAAATATAATATTAATTAATTAGAGTTACGTGTCCAAATAATCTCTATAATCGTATATGCTTCGTCATGCAACAAGACAGGTTTTGTAACTTATATTTAGAGCTACTGAGTAATGCTAATATTCAGTATTTTGTTCTTTAAGCAACATTCGTTGAAACAAAACAATATTGTTTATGATTTAATGTAATTAGCAAATTATAAGTCAGAAGTTATTCATATTAAGATTATGGAGGTTGTACGATGAAAAAAATCTGCCTTTTTTTGGCTTTTATGATTTAATTTCACATAATTAATTAATTGTTTACTTTTCACTTTTTCCATAGTGTACACTTTCTCTGTTAATGTTGACCACTAGCGACATCTACACTTTAATTAACTACTTCAGTTTTATCCAATGGCTTTGGGTCGGCGTGGCCATCGCGGGCATGATGTATCTACGTTGGAAGAAACCTGATATGCCTCGACCAATCAAAGTTTCATTAATTTTCCCGATCTCCTTTTTCCTGTGTTGTTTATTCCTTACCGTCATACCTCTGTATGCTCAACCACTACAGACAGGAATAGGATTGTTGATAATTCTGTCCGGTGTGCCAGTGCACTTTGCTGTCGTTAAAACCAGAAAAAAATCGCCCACCCTTTCACTTATTTCAGGTGAGTTTCTTTTTTTTAGTGCCTAATTCTGTATTTGGTCATTAAAGATGTGAGGTAACTTATAGACATTTTATCATCAAAGAAATAATATTGTTCCAATAAATTAACGAGCCATGCAGCTTATCTACGATAACTTGAAACGTTTTATTTACAACTCCTACTTTCCTAAAGGAAAAAGAACATGTGACATCTTGTACTTTAAATTGATAATTCCAAACATGACGTTCAAGTAAAAGTATGCCGTCCAAATACAGTACTTGCCATCAAATTTGGCGATATCTATGTTAATAGCTGTAATTACGTTTCTGTGTAGAAATTATGGATTTCAAGCGAAACTGTTGTGAGAAGAACCCCACAATTTTAGAAATGAAATGTTTAAGCCTTAGAGTAAGCCTCTTCTTAATAATTATTGATAATTGCCCTTTGTTGATGATTAGCTATTTACTAAAACTCTCAACAGGATAGAAAATTTTTAAATATTTTCCTTTTTTATATATTGTTCAGAACACGAGCTAATGTTATGTTTGTTAACCATGTTTTTTATTTATAGGGAGGATAACTACAGAATTGCAAAAACTGTTAGAAGTGATGATTCCAGAAAAAGACGACCCACTCTTGAGTAATTGAAACAATAACAAGAAATCGTGATATTTGGTTAAGTGGGGATATGGAAATAAGTGTCATTAATTTCTGAAAGTTTTTTTTAAAAAATAAGTAGTATCGTATTGACACTACATTCCACAAGATGACGTCTTAGTTTTTTTACGAATTTAAGACTGAAAGGTATAGCAGAATTATCACATAATTATTTTTGTGAAATTTTAAAAGTATGTTGTCCTAAAACTTTCAAACTAAAATGCATGTTTCATTTTATAAATCATCATTGTTTTATTAAAGACCTGGACAGAGAATGTATCAGAATGAATGCATTACCCTTAAGTATTTCATTGGTATAGTTACACTGTTATTAACTTTTACTGAATTCCTCTGAAAGTGTAGTTATTTAACTGAACATTTAAAAGGTCGGTTTTCATTGAATTCACGAATCGGTGAAAGGCTGAATATACGATCAGTTGTAGTTTGTTTTTCAATTATGACCAACTAAATCATAAAACATGATTTATGTTAGCCTCACGTGGTTAGCGTGCCATTTCGCGGATCTGTGGTTCCATGGTTTGTGTCCCTTAACGCCAAAAAAGTTTGGTTTGTTTTGAATTTTGCACAAAGTTACACGAGGTCCATCGGCGCTAGCCGTCCCTAATTTAGCAGTGAAAAACTAAAGAGAAAGCAGCCACCCTTCATCACCACCCACCGCCATCTCGTGGGCTATTCTTTTACCAATGATTAGTGGGATTGACCGTCACATTATAACGCCCTCACGGCTGAAAGGGCGAGCACGTTTGGTGGGACGGGGATTCGAACCCGCAGTATGCGAGTCGAGCGCTCTACCCACCTGGCCATGCTGGGCCTACCCCAGAAGAAAGAATGAACATTGCTTTACGCACTTTGGGATTGTATGACAAGAGTCGGCGGTGGGTGGTATTTGTAACTTCCTTCTGTCTAAGCCATCTCTTCAAAATTATGGACGACTAGCCTAGAGAGTCCCCGTGTAGGTTTACATGAAATTCAACAAGACAAATATTACTCCCTGTGTAGGTGAAGTGTTATATATTTCATAATCCATTTGCTTTTGAGTGCTTGCAATTTCAGTTTTTATATTTTATTTTATTGGAGAAAGGAAGAATGCATTTTCTACAAAAGATAAAAAATTGAACATGTTTGCTGTTTTCTTTTAGCACTTCTTTTTTATGTTTCATGGTGGATAATATTTAATTTATATAATTACAATTTGAATTTTCACTCGGTGATTAAAAAGTGTTATGAAAATAGCAAAGCCTAGCTGTTTTCCCTTTCAACAACTTACAAATAGAAAAACGGTAAATAATTCCGCTTATCGTTTTATATTTCATGGTTGCTGAAATAGACAAAACGGAAGTGTCGTTATGCATACGTGGCACAAAATGAAAGGGAGGCCCACTATTTTGATTGGCTCGGAAAGTTCTAATTATGCATTATCCATTCCTGCATTTCACCACCTAACGTATATATGCATCCATCCTGTGAGTGCAATGTATGAGGGGTAGAATATAGGAATGGGTAATGCAGATTTTCCTCGTATCCCAAATGCTCTCTAGTTTCTCATCATTTTCCATCCCCCACAATTTTAGAATAAAAACTTTTTATTACTAGTGTATGAGAATTTCTGTCGATTTTCCTCGATCAAACAACACATATTTCACTATGGTGTTCCAAAACTAAGTAAAACGAAATATAAGCATGTAAAGGACATTGTTAATTTATACATATACGTATTGCTGATTACATTAGTGTCTGAATTAATGAAGAAACACGAATCATAGTAGAATATTAAAAACTCAGTAAATATGTGTGAAGAACGTGCATTATTGTGATATATACATGCATACATTTCTTAACACGTTACTGCCTGAACTGCAAGCAGAAGTATATACTCATTATCAACTTTAACAGTTAAGTCTGCTTAAGTCATTATGTAACATATAGTGGTAGTTTGTGACTGTGTATGAAAGACACTTTCATCACAAGCTGCAACATGGATGGACAGATTTCACGTGGCTGCGCAAGGTGACAAACTGAGTAATGTACGCATAACGCCACTTCCGTTGGAAATCGATATGAAATACTAAGCGGTAAAAGTTTTCGTTAACAGAAAAACAACTTTGTTTTGCGTTACAAATCCCGTCCCCCCCCCCAAAAAAAAGCTCAGGAATTAACAGTACAATCCCGGATTAAAACTTGCATTTGGTCCTTATTTTGTGTTTTTGACAAATTGAAATTGACGAAAGAACTTGGAAGTAGTTTAAAAGAGAGGTCTTGCATGGCCTGGAGGTTAGGGCAATCTGTATGTCGTAGATTCGAATTCCATCACCGAACATATTCATCCTTTCAGTAGCGGGGGCTTTATAATGTGTTGGTCAATCCCACTGTTTGTTGGTAAAGACTAGCCCAAAAGTTGGTGGTGGATAGTGTTGACTAGATGCCTTTAAAAATTATAGATGGCTTGCGCAAATAGACCTCAAGTAGCTTTATTGCGAAGTTCAACAAATAAACATGTTTAAAAGAGGATGTACATCGTTGTTTCTATTTTAACGCTTAGTAGACTCGTTCACGAATAAGGATTTTTATTCAGAATAATTTATTGTAGGCTCAGGTGTTAAATATCTAATTCTCCTAGAATTCGTTTGTTTGTATGTAATTAAGCACATTGAACCATCTGTGCTGTGCCCACCACGGGTATCGAAATCCGGTTTCTAGCGTTACAAGTCCGAAGACTTACCACTGTGTCATTGGGGGGAAATTCTCTTAGAACAAGTATACAATGTGGCTGTCACCTAGCAACATTTGACGTTAATGCTTGAATAATTACTCTGAATAATTAAACTTTGATGTCATATTCTTGACATGGCATAATTTAAAAAATCTGGTGTTTGTGGTGTGTGGATTAGCGTGTTCTGGTTGTGAATCCTTTAAGCAAAAACACGCTCCGCAAATATTTTGTCAAATCCCACTGGTCTATCTGTTCAAAATTAGGATCGATTATGCGCAGATAGCTTTGGTAGAAACTTTTAAAAACAAAACAAACAATCTAATGTTGTTTAATGGCAATATGTTACGTATTTAAATTATACAGATGCTTCATTTTTTTTTCGGAAGTCTACCTGTTGTTATTACGACAAGCGGGGTAAATATTTTGTTGTATTATATAATATTTTAGGCAGTTAAAAAAAAAGATGCGAAGTGCACAAAATCAGGTTTGTTTCCCTGATAAGTTACAACAGATAATGTCTTCTTTTCGTCTAATAATGAATGCTATTATTATGGATTTACACCATCTATTGACCAGTTAGAGAGTTTACAAGCTCTTGAAAATCCTGATCGTCGTATGCATAGGAAATTCAGTTGATTATAGTGTTTTACTATCATCGCTTTTTAATTAAGGAAATGTTTTATATAATTATTTTGTTTTAAAATTTTTCTAACAATATTCTATTGAAAAATGCGAACTACTTTTGTCAGACCTTGTAAATCTAGTTGAATTGAAATTAGGCAACTTTTGTTGAAAATATATTTGGTTATATTTCCGGGAAGGAACCACGAAAAAAGACACAGACGCACTGTCACTTTCTACTTTTAGAATATTACAGGGGAACTGCTCACAGAATTAACGTACATGGGAACACAACACAGATTCATATTGTGTAGCTTTGAGCTTAACAACAGCCAAACGTATGTGAGGCGAGTGTGTACAAAGGAATTAATGTACTTGAGATTTTTCGTATAATCACTATTGAATTATTTTACATACAAGCTACCAACCCGTTATAATTTAAATATAATGTAATAGGAATGGAAGATAGATGATTGGGTATGAAGTTGGGTTTTCGTAGAATTTTGTTAGTACTTTAACTGTGAAGTTACACTGTGGGTTTTCTACGCTATGTTTGCCGCGGAGGTCAAACCCTGATTCTTAGCGTTATAAACCCTTAAGACTTGGGCTCTCTGCTGACCCATCGGTGGTAATTTTTATGTGCTTATCTCGAAGTAAACATTTAAATGACGTATTTATAGCGTTTTCTTTTATGAAGTATTGTAGTTTGGGATTGTGTTTGTTATGTTGTCAGTACATATAAACAGCTTGAAATGAATTAATCCGACATAGATATTTAAATATATATTGTACTTGAAGGGTATGATATGTATATATATTGTATTGTTTATTAGGTACGAATAACTTGAACTGATGTTGAGCAATTCAAAATTTTTTGTAGAGAAACAATTATTTTTAACTTCAAACATTATCTGTGTATGTGGTATATGTATGAATGTACATATGAAAAAATAGAAAACTCGCAAGTTAGTAATAATACGACAAGAACAAAATATTGTCAAGAATTGATATATATATATATATATATATATATTCATAAGTACCTTTAATTTATTGTTGCGAATCAAACTTACAAATTGTATTTAATTTGTGGTATTTTATCGTTTGGACTTGTACAATTGGCGTATTTTAATAAATCAAATCTACATTGTTATGTTTTAAGTTTTACACGTTAATGATAGTGGTTGATACGGTAGTGTACACTTTTAATTGATGGCTTGTTCCTATTATTATTATTACATCATAAAATAAATTTAACTTAATCTAACTATTGTGCTGAATGTTATAACGCAAACCTAACATTTGGTGTGTCTTAATTATGTGTTTCAAACCCAACAATACTGACAAAAGCTTATGGATTTACGACTTAAGCCTTACGTAACCTACAACATTTCTGAATAAATTGTAGGTATGCTTCAACAGGCAAATAAACTTGTATGACTTCTTATAATATATTATTTCTAATTTGTTCTCAACATTTTCTGATTCCTGAGTGTGTTCAATCAAATTTCTAGAGCTACAGATGGTTTCCAGCCATTTGTTCACAGGAAATACAGTGAAAAAAGACAAAAAAGTAAAAATATTGTTAATAAAACTTCGATTTTCGCAGAATTTATAATTTGTATGTGCTTTCGGAATATATTAAAGTGTTTCCTTTTTTGTTATTGTAAAATAAGTGAAATTTATAACTTTCATTTTAAAATTTCTACTCGAGGGCTATCTGCGCTAACCGTCCCTCATTTAGTAGTGATAGAGGGAAAGCAACTAGTCAACACCGCCAACTCTTGGGATACTCTTTTACCAGTGAGCATATTTAGTGATGGGATTCTAACTCTCGACTACTTTTATTTGAAGAAAAGAACAACAGCTTAACACATCAGTATTTAGAAAGGGACAGGACGTAAGTTTCCGTTGACTATTACGTATACCAATCTATAGTCACTACAGAGGCAAGATATCACTGAGAAAAAAAAAGGAGTTAAAATGAAAGGCAATAATAGCCAATTGTGTAGCTTTGTGCTTAACTACAAAACAAACAAACAATCCCAAAGAAATGTCAAATAGCTGAAATCATTGATATATTCTGTTAGTTTGCTTTGATTGGATGTATGATATAATATTTTCTTTGATCAGTAGTTTTAAAAACTGAAAAGAATGTTATGTTAAACACGATGTGTGTGTCTCGAGAGATACGTTAATAGTGTTAATAATCAACTTCATTTGAATTAACAAATGTATTGTTTCTGAAATTTAAATTGTAAGTTGATTTCTTATTTTATTAAAGATATATTTCGGTTATTTGATTTATGCATACAATCCTACTTTAACCCTGTTTTTCGTTTTGTTGTGTAATACATTCATTTATAAAAGTTGGTGGTGGTTTTTTGTTGTTGTTTTTAAATCGACAAATAAGGAAGTTGCCCTTTTTCAGGTTATGTTGGTGTATATTATCCTTAAATTGTAACAGACAGTTTACTTTCCTCGTGTGAAGAAAAGAATAAAAATATTGAACAAAACTCTATAAGTGTGACATTCGTGTATTTTAAGTGTTACTCTATTAATTTCGAACACACGAATGTGTGTTCATTAAATTCATGGAATTTTTACACTTTAGTTTTAAGGGATCTATAAATAGCAGCTGTTTATTCAATGACCAAGCGAAAGATTCTACGTACACTGTTCTTTTTAAAGTATCTAGACATCTCTTGAACGTATGACATGCTATACTCAGCATGTTTGCAAGAGAACTCGGCAAGCGTAAACACAGAGACAAACCAAACAGGCCCGGCACGGCCAGGTGGTTAAGGCGCTCGACTCGCAATCTGAGGGTCGCGGGTTCGAATCCCCATCACAGTAAACACAGAGACAAACCAAACAGGCCCGGCATGGCCAGGTGGTTAAGGCGCTCGACTCGCAATCTGAGGGTCGCGGGTTCGAATCCCCATCACACCAAATATGCTCGCCCTTTCAGCCGTGGGGGCGTTATAATGTGACGGTCAATCCCACTATTCGTTAGTAAAAGAGTAGCCCAAGTGATGACTAGCTGCCTTCCCTCTAGTCTTACACTGCTAAATTAGGGATGGCTAGCGCAGATAGCCCTCGTGTAGCTTTGCGCGAAATTCAAAACAAACAAACCAAACAGGTAAATTAAGAGTATTTGAATGTATGCAAGATACCGAAATGTTGTGAAGTACATGAATGAACTGAGATATTTTAATCTGCTGAAAGCGTAAAGAAAAAATGGGTTTATGAAATAGTCGCAACTTTCAGCCATGTACGATCTATTGTACATGAGACCATTGAATGATATTTGATCATGTTAAGTTGGAAGAAAGTATTGTAAAACTAGATGTACTTCTGCAGGGTCCCCGAGATTGTTCTGTTTCAAGAGTAAATAAAACCAAAATTAAGAGTAACAAATATTTTTATTTCTTGCTTTTGAAGTTCATATGTCATGCTGTGTTATAGCCTACAGCTAGTGATTCATGGGATGCGCACGTTTTACTGACGTCACGATAGTACAAATTGCAACGTTAAGCGTCCCTTATTTGACTTCACTTTAGTGACAGACAACGCACTACTGTACACTGGTGGGAGTGGTTAAAACAGGTGACTCCTCCAGGCATTGTTGCCCGATGAAGGCTGCGGTAAGAGGACCGAAAACTCGCAATAAAAGTATTTTAACGTAGAGAAAAGTCCGATTATAATTCTACATATTAATTTACCTGCGTCTTGAGTCTTAAACAACAATTAGCTCGTCAAGATTTTGAAAACAGGTTGCACTGGACACCTGCCTGAACTTAGGAAGATCAAGTCTTGCAGAACAAAAGCGATACTACAGTGGTCATTCTGTTCCAGGTATCGGTATTTAGGTCTTTTAGACCTGGGAGGATCAGGTTAAAAGACTCTTCCTCTCTCCCGCACTTGATTAATAACTGTTCAATATTCATTTAATTACTACAAGAGGGCCCTCTCTGTGACCCCTTTCAGGGCCTTGTTCATGTATGTAATTATATTAATATTGATGTGTTAATACACTTTCACTTAATTCGGTTGTGTTAAAGTTCACACTACACGAACAATTCCAATTGTTCACATTTTCAATAATTATAAATTTCGGCAAGAGCATTTACATATAATGATTTTATTTAATGATTTCACAGTAAATTAAAATCATTGACGGTATATATGTCTAGTTTTAGGTGGACTTAATTTATTTTTATTTCTTATATAAATGTTTATAGGGGAGAGGTACTTACGAATATTTTCATGATGTATGCAGAAACGGTCGAGTTCGCATAGTAGATCATTTGTTTGCCAATTTTTCGCGAAGTAATTTAGTGAACTATGTAGGAGTCTATCCATGGCCAGATGGTTAGGGAGCTTGGAGTGAAATTCAAAAAACAAACAAAGTAGGAGTCTATCAGTTAGTGTTTCTATATTTTCGTAGTTGTGTATAAATGCTGAGGAAGTTGATCTAGGTAGTCTGTATGTTATTGTGAGTAGTGTGTTCTGTAATTTAGTTTTATTTTGTTTTGGTGTTATATTTATCCAAGCTGGTGCTGTATATTCTATTAGTGTTCGGATATAAATTTTATATATTTTTACTACGTTTAATGCTGTTTTCATTTGTTAGACTCCTTGCATAGTTCGTACGCTGCCAAACTTTGGTTTTTATATTGCTTACATGTTCAGTCCATGTCAATTATGTATCATAAGTTAAACCTAAAAATTTAGCTGATGTTTTTGTCTGGAGAAGTGCTCTAATTATATACAGTTCAGGAGGGTGTTTATTATGTTTGGTTAATTTAGCGAAAACTGCTAGATGTATCTTGGGTACATTGATTTTAATTCTTTATTTCTGACAATATTCTGTTATTCTATTTAATTGAGGTTGGATATTTATGGCT